TTAATCAAACCGTGTAATACACGGGTTTCACACATAGTGATGAAATATTTGAGTAGTATGTGAATTATGTGTTTATTTTCTTAATTATTATAATTTAATGAATTAAGAATAAAATAAACGTCAAATTTGAAGTGTGGGATAATCCTAATATCTTTGCATAAAGATTTAGTGGTCGAAACAAGGATTCCGAAGATATAAAGAATGCCGAAATCCGAGTTATAACGAATAAGTTATGACTTGTCGAAGTTTCGCGACAGAACCGGCAACGCTGAATGACGTAAAAAGTGAAATTTACGTTAGAATGATATTTAGCCTTAGCAATCTAAACTAAAGTCGTAGAGTTCGTTAAACCATGAGCGTACATAAAAAGAACATCCAAATCTGACTTCGTATGAGGGAGTTATGATTTTTCGAAGTTTCAACTTAGCAGTATGCAGCCCGAATACTCGATTTGAGATCGAGTGGTTTTTAGCCGAAATAATCTAAATAAGAATCTAAGGTGTCGTTAATAGTAGTAAAACGACAAAAAGATAGGCGAAAACGGACGTCGGATGAAGAAGTTATGAATTTATAACGGAGTTTTCCTGTCCCGACCTACTAAAAATAAATAATAAAAATAACGTCAAAATTAGCTGACGGAGTCTAAACGAAAGTTGTAGATCGTAGTCTCACCTACGCGTGGATATAAAGAACGTCGAAAATGGAGTTTGTATGAGGAAGATATGAATTTTTGAAGTTTATTAAATATTTTCGATATTTAATTTAAATATATATTATCCGATATTATCCAAGGGGGGGAGTCAGCGACCCTATCGTCATTACGCCCAGCGTAATCCCATGTTACACCCAGCATAATTCGAACTTCCAGCCCCTATAAAAGGGTGTCGTGGGCAACCGACTTCTTTGCTCATTTCTTTCATTTTTCTCGCGTTTTTGCATCGTTTTTTGTGCAAAAATTATCCCGAAGCTCCGGTATCATTCCCGAGCCCCGAAGCAAGTCCCGAAGCCTCGAAGATCCCGAGAAGTGTAATTCCCGATCCGAATCTCTGCCCGCAAGGAGTCCGGTTTTTGTGAAGATCTTCCAGATCTACCGAAAAATACTACTTCTACAAGCCGTAGTGTTGTCCGATCATCTTCTGATCAAGTGAGTGTGTGGTTACTTTCTTCTAACGCATAATTATTAAGTATTTAATATAAAATACATGTTATGTGTATATTTTTTTGTTATATGTGTGAATGTATATTCACTTTCTTCTATCTCATAGATACGATTTATTCTCTATGAAATACGTGTTATGTGTACGTGTCTCATATGTTGTTTTGGAATATGTATTGAATGAGAATGTTATACAGGTTTTAAACTATGTATAAAAATATAGATTTTTATCTACTAATATGTCAGGTAGAACATGGGTAGATAGTTGACGTGTGATAAACAGATGAAAGGCCTCGATGTTGTTTTTGATTCAGTCATCTAGCGGAGTTTAGATGACGACCACAGACTTTTCTAGATAGTCTTGTGGAACACTAGCAGGCTCGCCACCAGTAGGTGTTAATGAACTTGGATATTCATTCACTGTATTCCATCCCCCTCATGGTTGTCTTATTTGACTTATATTGCTGAGGAACCCCCGAAGCTTGTGTTGTCGCCCCGATGAAATATTCTTAGACTAGGTCCCTTATGTTAGTTGTCTTAGGGATGTAAAGTGAGAATAACGGGAATGGGTAATTGGGTTATTGTTGGTTGGTGGAATTAAATATAATTATTTATTGTGGGTTGAAAACCCTATATGCTCACCAGACTCCCAAGCCTGACCCATTCAGTTTCTTTGTATTATAGGTGGTGGCGCCAGAGTATAAGTTGGATGACTTGTCAAGTTATTTTTGGATTATACACCTGTTGTTGTAAATAACTGTTGTAAGGTCTATATTTAAATGTTTATGCTTTTGGTCTGTTTTTCGGAACATGACATCTCGAGTATTGTAATATAATGAAAAATACATTTCTTTAAGAAATGCTTTGGTAAATCTTATTTTATCATACTTTGTTTTTGGGAACAAATTCCGCAACTCTTTCAAATCAAAAGGATTTACTCTGAAATTATTTTAAAAGCATAAATGAAAATCGGTCTTTTTTGGTCGAGATTTTGGGGATGTCACATGAGTGGACTCGGCGAGTCCACGCTGTTTAATGAAACCCTAATTTCCCAGGTTTGAGACCTATTTAAAGGCCCATAGGGCCGTCATTTGGAGCTACCAAACCCCAGAGAGAAACCCTAAGAGATCTAGAGCGTTTGTGAGGAAGGAGAGGCCACTTTTGATCATTTTGTTGGTGTGATTGCAAGAAGGAGGTGACCAAGGCAAGAGGAGGCGGAAGGAGGAGCGATTCAGGTGAGTCTTCTCACTATACTTTACCTTGGGTAGGTAATTAGAGTTATGTGACAGAGTTATTGTATGCTATCTATCTGATGTGTTGCACTGCATTATTTCTATGTGATTTATGCCGTGTGTATATATCAGAGTATATCAGAGTTAGAACCGGGAGGTTCACAGAGCTAGGACCAGAGGGTCCACAGAGTTAGGGCCCAAGGGCCCGCATACTCGAGTGGCTAGTATGTGATATGTGTGGTATTTTGGGGAACTCACTAAGCTTCGTGCTTACAGTGTTTTGTGTTATGTGTTTCAGGTTTTCTCAAGATCACAAGACGGCACCGGCTAGATTGTACACACCAGAGGAAAAGTTTGTTTTGAAGATCCTGGTTATTAAGTGATTGAACAAAAGAGTCGTGTATTGTAATTAAAACAAAAAGGAGATTTTTATGAAAAGTGTTAAAGAGATAAACTATTTTAAATGAAAATTATGTTTTGAAAATTTCGGTGTTACATCGCGGTTCTAAACCGCATCCCACTCCGTGAAGCCTAAACGTGCACCAACTTCATTCCGTTTGCTTTACTATTATGAGTATCATTTAAAGTTTATTTATTATTATTATTATTATTATTATTATTTTTCTTCTTCTATTCCAACCTTTACATTGCACGAAAAAGTTTGTGAAAAAACTTTATTATCATTGATGTTTTTAGTAATCTTTTTGATTAGTGGGATGGTCACAAAATTTTCTTTTAATGAAAAACCTGTTGCGGATGAAGTTTTTTATTTTTTTTATTTTTTTATTTATTTTATTTTATTTTATTTTATTTTTAAATATATAAATAAAAAACATCTTATGGATCTCTTATGTTTCTACTTTGATATTAGGACATTCATAATGCATTGAATTTTATAGATTTCAACGGATTGCCACATTATTTTTCTACGATCCATACAATTATATATATCTTTACTATCTTATAAAACAAATCTCACTATTTCTAAAAATAGATTGAATAAAATAATAATATTTTTTTAAGACGTCCAAATCATTAAGCTAATTGTACAACTAATCACTAATAAAATAATATTAAAATTTAAATAAACTCCTATAAATCTTCCCTTACAAGGTTTTGACCATATCTTTTTAAATCCAAATAAATACTCAACACCCTATAATTTGATAATTTCATGAATTTTCTTTATTTTTAATATGACATGTTTCCTAAAACAAACTAATGATTGAATTGAAAATAATCATTCTCCATCGAAAAGGAATTAATTGTCGAAACAAACTATTTGTCGTTCGCAGCTTTGCGCGGGTAAACGGCTAGTGTATATATATATATATATATATATATATATATATATATATATATATATATATATATATATATATATATATATATATATATATATATATATAGGAAAAGTGAATATACCCTTAAGGGTATATAAACTTAGGTACCCAAACTCACCATACTATGTTGTTTTGTATCCTATGTGTATATTGTAATTGTCCAATGTTCTTATAATTCAACTTCTAACTTGATTTACTTCTAAGATTTTTATAAATTTCACATTTATCTTCCTCTTACATAATTTTCATTTTCAACTCTAATATATATAGTCTACTAGGTGTTCGGCAAAAAGAAGTGATATAAGAGGAAAACAATAGTGAAATTTCGAAACTCTTCGAAGTAAATCAAGGTAAAGTTGAAGTTTAATAACATTATAATGATTATATTAAACAAAACAACTAATTATAGTGAGTTTTGGTACCTAAACTTATATATATATATATATATATATATATATATATATATATATATATATTCATACAATGCATTGAACTCTACAAAGTTTAATAGAATGTTACAAAACGTAATTTATAGTAAATATTTAAGAATTAAAAATTTTTATTTTTCCATTGAAAAGTTCAATCGCCATTAAACTCCAAATTCATTGAATGTCAAGATGACATATCACAATAGTAGAGTTTCATCCATTAAATGATACATATATTTGCCATCTCATTCAACTCTCCAATTGAACTCACAATTATGGATGCCCTTTGATTGTATTTGAAATTTCATTTAAAAATAACTTATTGATTTATTGATTTTTTGAAAAGTCTGACAAATAAAAGAAAATGTTTAGCAATACAAAAAAAAGACTTTTTAAAATAATTTTTTATTAACTTTTTAAAAATAAGATTTCAATAAGTTGCGATTTCTAAATTTTTGGAACTTATAATTTTTTGGGTTGTAGAAGATAATATTACACTCAAAAATCTTTTAAAACATGTAACATAAGCTAAGAAAATATTTTTTTAAAAAAAAATTATTTATTGAAATTTTCACCTCAAAAACTAATCCAAACATTATCTTAAAATTTATTAGCCTTCAATAAATCATTTTATCTAAAATTAATGTTTAAAATGAAATGATAAACACACTCTTAGTTTTGGAGATTTGATAATACTCTGGAATATGTGAGTTGTTTGTAGTTATTGTCGTTTGTGTTAAACATTATAATTCCACATAAATGGTGATTGTCCTTAACTGTCTTTCGGTATATAAAAAATTAAAACAATCGATTTCCTACAATATATAATAAACGTGATTTACTAATATAAAAGAAAAGTAAAAATAAATAGGCCTTACATCTTTATCCTCATTTTTGAATTAAATTAAAAAAAAGGACTTTCCTTTCAACCCACGATTTCGAAAACCCAAAATCAGATCAGATTCTTCCATTTTCCAAGCGGTTCTTTTCCGGCCGCTACGGTTTCATACTTTGCGAGAGGGTTTTGTAGATCAATCTTCCTATAACCATCATCAATATGGGGCAACAATCTTTGATCTATAGTTTTGTGTCCAGAGGGACCGTGATTCTTGCAGAGTACACAGAGTTCACCGGAAATTTCACCTCTATTGCTTCCCAATGCCTCCAGAAGCTTCCCGCAACTAACAATAAGTTCACATACAACTGCGATGGGCACACCTTCAATTACCTTGTTGAAGATGGCTTCAGTAAGCATCCACGAACTTCTCTCTGTTAATTTTCAGTTACAGCTTCGATTTTAGATGTGATTCTAGGGTTTTCATTCATCCGCATCACATTTTATAAATGGAAAGCTTGTTAGTCGGTTCTAATTGTTATGGATGCATATTTCCGCTTCATCTGATTCGTGAATCGTGATGTGGTTTTGGTTGATAGTTCTATAATGGAGTATAATTTCTATAATTTACTGAACTTCCATTAATGAACTTTTTGTATTAATGGGTTTCTATGTGACAAACAGACTTGTAATGTACCGATCTATGCTTTATTACATTGCAAAACTGATTATTATTCTACTGCTTTTGAATCATGAAGCATACTGTGTTGTGGCTGCTGAATCTGCTGGCCGACAAGTGCCCATGGCTTTTCTTGAGCGAACCAAGGACGACTTTAACAAGAAATATGGTGGTGGGAAAGCTGCTACAGCTGTTGCCAATAGTCTTAACAAAGAATTCGGGTAACCCCACTCCACTCTTCATTTTAATCACAATATTTGTGTAAATCCTTGTAAGCTAATTATATATCTATGACTGAGCTTACCATGAGCAGACCCAAACTGAAGGAGCAGATGCAGTATTGTGTAGATCATCCTGATGAAATCAGCAAGCTCTCAAAGGTCAAAGCCCAGGTTTCAGAAGTCAAAGGTGTGATGATGGAGAACATTGAAAAGGTAAAATGTAAAAATGTAAAATACTTTTTGGGCGTTTTATGTTTAGGTTAAATGATCAAATATATACTTCAAGTAATTTATAGGAATTTTGTTCTGATCTTGTAGTTTTTTTTGCATATACAGGTTTTGGATCGAGGTGAGAAGATAGAGCTCCTTGTGGATAAAACAGAGAATCTTCGATCTCAGGTCAGGGAATTTGAATTCTTAATTTACTTCTGCATAATTGTGCTATAAGAAATCTTGGATCAGTCAATCTATGCTTCAATTAAGTTTTTCTTGATATTATATTATCATTATCTTTAAAAGCACCACCATATTATATCTTGAAATTGTATATATATGATTGATTGCAGGCACAAGATTTTAGGACACAAGGTACACAGATAAGGAGGAAAATGTGGCTGCAAAATATGAAGATAAAACTAATAGTTCTTGGAATCATCATTGCCTTGATTCTGATTATAGTTCTCTCAGTTTGTGGTGGCTTCAATTGTGGCAAGTGAAGCTCATATATAATATGGTAAAACTTTGTTTAATTTGTCTCTGTTTTTATTAAAAAGCCTATTATGTTGCAAGATTGCGTGTATATTTTTGTACTTTTAAGACCATTGAAACAACTTTATTGCTCTTTGGTCTTTTAACTTGTAGTAGAATAATGTTAACATGTTTGTAAGAGGATGAAGTTGTAGGAGTGCATAAGTTCATAGCATGGGTTCGTGCTTTTTTGAGGTCAGATGACACTCTCAGAATGTTTTGGAAATAATATGAATATCATCATCATCACCATCATCGTCATCATCAAATCTACAATACCATAAGAATTTCATAATGGTGAGTAAATGTTGCGTGTATAGATGATTGTTTTCATAGATAACCTGACATGTGAAATAAGGATCATGAGTAAGCAGATGTAAGTTGTAAATAAGGGTGAACATGGTTTAGGAATCGGACTGGATCAAATAATGAAATTGGAATGTGGTGAAAACTGAAAACCGAACTGAATACAAGTATATGGTAACTGTTTGGTTTTGGTTTTTTGGTACCAAAACCGCATTAGGACCTAATGTGTTTGTTAGTCCAAATTCGAATGTATTAAAAAGGTGCAATAAAATATGGATTTGGGTTTAAAATGCAAATATGTATTCATAGTATTACAAAAGTGATGCACATTGGCGCCTTTAGACGTCTCACCGTTTATTTATTTGGTTTTGTTTCGGTATTTTTAATTTGGTTGAGTTTTTCTGTTAACAAAATATGTGATGAACATTAAAATGATACATTAAGATTTACTAAAAGTTATATATTAAAATTTAATAAAAGAAAAAGGGAGGAAGTTGAGTAATGTGATTAACAAAATGCATAATTAACACAAAAATAATATATTTATAAACTTTGGTAAAAACGCAAAATTGGTCCGGTTAAAATTGAAACCAAAGTGGACCAAAATTGTATGAATCGAAATTGAACTGGGGAAAAACTAAAACTAAAAACCAAACCGAAACGTATACTAAGTGCTATATTGGTTCGGTTATGATTGTTTTTTCTCTCTAGTTTGGGTTTTCAGGCCTATATGTCTACTCCTTGTAAAATCCTAAAGTTCAAATCATTTTTTTTTTCTTTTGAAAACATAAATAAAATCCAAAACATTTTCATAAAAGATCAACGCAGTAAATTGTTTCAAAACATCGTCAAACCATAATATCCAGATGTGTCAAAATATCATAGCAATTGAAGTCCAAAATAAATCGGTGGCTATGCGTATGTCGTACAATCAAGTTGGAGCTTTCTCATGATTGGAAGAACTACCTGAAAATTAGTAAATCAATAATTGTAAACATAAAGTTTAGAGAGTTCCTCCAAAATCCTACATACCACAATACATATACAATGCATACAAACAAAGGCTCTCGACTCTAGTACCAATTCACCCCATCAATGGCTACTAACGAGTCTAGTACATGTCTAGTCATCAAAGGTGACTAACAGATCTAGTATAAGTCTAGTCATCAACAAAAGTTAACGACTTTAGTGCATGTCTAACGACTCTAGTAACGACTTTAGTGCATGTCTAACGACTCTAGTACACGTCTAGTCATCAATGGCGACTTACGGCTCTAGTACACGTCTAGTCATCAACGGTGACTAACAAATCTAGTGTATGTCTAGTCATCAACGACGTTAACGGTTTAGTGAGTTCTTTCAAAATACTACATACCACAATACATATACAATACATACAAACACAGGCTCTCAACTCTAGTGCTGATCCACCCGGTCAATGGCGACTAACGGCTCTATTACACGTCTAGTCATCAACGGTGACTAACAAATCTAGTGTATGTCTAGTCATCAATGACAGTTAATGAATTTAGTGCACGTCTAACCATAGATACGAGTATTTTTCAGCTCTTGGCTCTAGTGCCGATCCACCATCAACTCAACATAATATGTTGACATATCATACAATCAAGAAATCAAACAATTAATAGACAAAAGACTATACTAGCCTACTTACGTAATCAACATACTACAATACATCTACATCCTATCATACAAAAGTTATATATATATATATATATATATATATATATATATATATATATATATATATATATATATATATATATATATATATGTAGTGAGATAACTCATTTGAAATGAAAGTTGGAGAATCACAGCTACGCACATGACCTTGCAAGAAATAGTCGCATGAACCACCTAGACAACAATCAGAGGTCACACCTCAGTCTATAACTCATTCCTCATAGTTTGACCAAAAGTCAAACTAATAAAAAAAGTGAACGATTAAAGTCAAAGACCATCTAGTCATGTCGCGACTATAGATAGATGCATCGTGTCGCGACAAAATAATTGGGGAAACTCCATAGGTGCGTCGCGGTTACCCAAATAGGTGTGATGCGCCTTTCTGAACACAACCCTTAACAAGTAAGATCATAAACCCTAATTTCCAAATTTCATCCTAAAGACTAAATCGTATGCATGGCTTTGAGGGAATGCATGCATGATTTTATTTTTTAATCTATATAGAAGTATCTACATGCATGAACTAATCAAATGAGGTTATGTAGTTCTTCCAAACTTCAAGAAAGACCGTATTGTGGGACCAAAGTGACCACGCTGACACCCATAATCTAGATTTAAGAGAAATAATCATAAAAGTTGAATCTGTATACCTTTCCAAGGTCTAAAAGATGATAAGAGAACAAAACTTAGTTGGATCCTTCTTCACAGTGCACCAAGTTGTTAGTTCATTCTTCAAGAATCACCAAAACACCGCCTTTCTGTTTAAGCAACACTCTAAGGCTCAAAAAATCTAATAAAACCACTCAAAGGAGGGATAAGGTTTGCTCTGGAAGGTTGGAGGCTGGTAAATGACAAAACCACAAAGGTTAGTACCTTTCAGTAGGTCCCAAATCCCGAGGCCTAGGGCTTTGGCGCAACAAAGAGAACGAGCAACACCTTCAAATGGGCGCGTCGCACCCCACGTGACATGTAACGTCCCAAAAATACTAGATGAAAATTTGTTTTTAATTCAACTAAAGTATTCATTCATTACTTTCAAAATAGTGATAACATCAAAAGTATTTCCAATAACATTAGAGTGGCATCAAAATCGTAACTATGAAATCTCCTATAGTTGCGATGCAATCATGCCTGACTTTTCTCCTTAAGGTCTAGATGGATAAAGTTTCAAACTTTATCTACCTAATGCCACCCAAAAAGTACAAATCTATAATCCTAAGCTCTTAATGGGTGTACCAATTTCATGGACAACACACAAAGTCATGTAATATCACTTTCTTGAAGGTTTGTATCAATCAGATACACTACAAATATAATAAACAAAAACAAACAAACTAATCAAATTAAGAACAAAAAAGTAAAGAACACGAAGTATTCACAAAATTGTCTTTCACCAAGGAAGGGTTTGTTTTCACCAAGGAAACAGGTTGTCACAAAGACGGTCACCGAGACAAGCATTAGGGTTTCACCCTAATATTGTATATATACTAATCTATACTAGTATATCCCTCGACTGAAGGGATTTTATCTAATCTATACTAAGAACCGATCCTTATCACAAGGTTACTGGATCTTCTATCTATTGTATACATATCTGTATAATTACCTTATATACAAAGATTACATTAGATTATATAATTGTACACTGAAGCTGATCTTCATGATGACACTGATAATGTCTTGAAATGCTGGTGCTGATGTTGGCACTGATGCTGGCGGTCAGCGTATATAGTGTTTGACTCATAAAATCATAAGGTGTGACCTTATAATCTCCTCCTAGTCGATGATGTCAAAACTAATCTTCAAAATTCTTCAGCTCGTGCTCCCCCTGAGAGTAAGATTGAAACTTTAAGTTCTTCAGCTTTAACGAATGCTCCCTCCTAAGAAAGTGTATTACTACATACTTTTAATTATCAACAGTAGAGCATTTATGAGTTTCAGCGGATTAGTAGACGACGAGCTGATAGAAAGTTGATATTAGCTATCAGCTTACCCCCCCCTCTTAGATTTTGCTTCTCTTCAGATTAATAACACTTACTAGTTTGAAAGTTTCTCCCCCCTTTTTGACATCAACAACAAATATAAAACTTGGAGGAGGCGATCAGTGTATCAGAGTTGCAGCTTGTAACCTAGTAAGTTTGTGATGTCTCCTGATAATATAGCTGTGAACTACCATTCACTAACATAGTATTGCGAGATTTCATCGACGTGTGGTTTCATATGCTAACTTATTAATCACTTTTAGTAGAATAAAAATGGCAAGAGTGGTATGATGCATGTGATAAGATGTGGTGTTTTAGCTTAACCATTGACATAGATTTTTCAAGTTCTCATCTGTGTATGGTACATTACACCAAATCATAAATCTTTAAAGAAGAATATAAGGCAAGAATAGATTGTTTTAGTCATTCTAAGGTGGAATCAATGTGAATCATAAACAATGTTAACTCATTAACAAAAAGTGGTTTAACTTCTATATCATAGAGTTCGTTTCAGTCTAGAATCATAGATCTTCCATCAATTCATAGTGGTACCACGTCATTCCTCAGGCAAGGAGGTCAGGAACATGAATAACCCTTTTTCATTTAAGGACCAGACAAGTAAGTCTTATGCCGATGACTATGAAATCAACATAAGCCACTGGGTTATGTTTGATGTTTCAATAGAACATGATTTCGGATAAGGCGTCTAAGTCCATAACTATAATTGGTATGTAATTGACCCGAAAATAGCATGGTACATTTGGGTTGCATTTCACCGGAACAATTTGACAGGATGGAATTTGAGAAGAGGTTATTTATGATTTATTAATATATTTTAAGTTCTAATATATTAATGTGAAATCATATTATTTAATTAGTATTGGCCAGGAATTAATTCAGTGATCAAAAGAGACTAGTTAAATATACGGAGACTGATTTGGCAAATCAATGATTCTTATAGTGTGGGAAAATGGTTATTTAGGATGGGATATAAGTCCACGGATAGTCAATGGAGGTTAACCCATGGAGCCTAAGTAATATGAAATGTCATGTCCATTAAGGTTTACATGGATGTAACCCTAGACTTTACCACACTATAAAAGAAGCCCCTAGCTCCTAAAATCGGCACTGGTTGTTCTAGGAGATCATAAGAGAAGATTTTTGTGCAAGTCACTCTCTCTTAAGTCCTCCATTGTTGGTGGTGTTTTGTGAAGCATTTGAGGCATCACACTTGGGGTGCTAGGCTCTTAAAGGTCCAAGTTAACAAGCTATAAGAAGAGGTAAGTCATCTAACTAGTTTTTATTATTCAAGTACCCATGCTTTGTATGCTAGTTAGGATAATGCTTTGGAAAATCAAATTTCATGTATAATTAGAGAAAACATCGATCCAAAGCATTTAGGGTTGCATGTGCACCATAAGGTTGTTAGAGTGCTCAAAACCCTTCAGTGGTATTAAAGCGTAAGATTGTTTTATGTTATACTTGATGCTTATTGGTTTTCAAAGTTAAAAAATCAATTTTCTGGCTTCTGACTGGTGAACTCGCCAAGTCCACTGGCTGACTCGACGAGTCCACTAAGCAACAGACCAACTCGTCG